AGGAACCCTAATCCTTGTGAAAGAGACTTTTTTCCGAGTATTGACTCGGTCCGAGTCAGAACTCTGACTCGGTCGAGTCAGAACGAATCAGCCCAAGCCCATTGTCAACTCTTGACTCGGCCCATTTAGTATTGACTCGGTCCGAGTCAAAACTTTGACTCGACCGAGTCAAAACATCAGCCAAGCCCAAAACACTTTCTGGGCTTCGACCCGCGTGGAACTGACTCGGTCCGAGTCAAATACTGACTCGGTCCGAGTCAGAAGGCTGAAACCGTCCCGACACTCTGATTTGATCCGAAAACGATTTTTCCGACCAAATCCAAGTCTTCCTTTCCGAAACTTCACATATAAGTCCATCCCTAATGGTGTGTGACCCTGTAGGCCCATTCGCAGTGGCAGCAGCCTCGAGAACCATTCCTGATCTACAAGTCATGGTTAGCCTCTAGCAAGACGCCATGACCACCCATTTAGAATTGAGTTAGAGGTGATCTAACCAAGGCATTAACAGCTCGAATTTTGATCCTTTGTCTCACGATATCATATGTTGAACAAGGGCATGGTTTAAGCCACCTTTCAAGTTCAACCGCTTTCTCGTCTTGGTAAATCGACTATTAAAATAGATGCAACTTCATCTATAGCGTGGCCACGCATTTTCATAGTCCGACTTCCACGAGAGGGCCCAGCGATATCTCTCCTATTGAGGAGGTGACAAGTCCCATATTGCATGTCTACTATCTCCATATGATTCGTGAATGTATCTGATCAACGCCGTTATAATCATCCGGTTAAAGATGACGTTTGACGCAGTCAAGACACGTCATTCCTCATATCAGATACTCTAGACATCTCAGGTCTGAGGATCCATAAACGAACCGCTGTATGAGATTCAAGTCATGACTCTGTCCATTTGACAATCTCATGCGGATCATCCAGACACTCGTTCACAACGAGTACCCATGATTGTGATCTACATCTAATGCGTTGATCACACCTCATGCTAGTCTTGATTCAACATTGTTCCCACAATGATGACTGACTAGGGAGTTTAGAATCACTCTCTAATGATTCAAGGATGTCGAAATACAACAAACATGCTAATCGTATAACGGATAAATAATGCATTCATAAATCAATGAATCAATACAAAGTAAAATGTCATATCATGGATCATCCTAGAGCATTACAACCAACAATCTCCCACTATGCTCTATGATCTATCCTACAAGCATCTAATCCCCATACCCTTAACATGACCATCATGCTTTGACGAAGGGAGAGGCTTCGTCAATGGGTCGACAATATTATCATCTGTCGACACTCTGCTTATCTTCACATCTCCTCTGTCGATGATTTCTCTGATCAAGTGAAATCGCCTGAGTATGTGTTTGGATCTCTGGTGTGACCGGGGTTCCTTAGCTTGCGCAATCGCACAATTGTTGTCACAGTACAACGCAATGGGGTTCACAATGCTAGGAACAACACCAAGGTCTCTCACAGATTTCTTGATCTAAACTGCCTCTTTTGCCGCATCCGATGCAACAATATACTCAGCCTCTGTAGTGGAATCTACAACGGTGGCCTGTTTTGAACTCTTCCAACTAACATCGCATCTGTTCAGAAGGAACACAAAACTTGATTGCGATCGAAAATCATCCACGTCGGACTGAAAACTAGCATCGGTGTAATCACTTACAACGAGTTCATTTTCACGTCTACCGTAAACTAAGAACGCATCCTTAGTCCTTCTCAGGTATTTCACGATGTTCTTTACGGCTATCCAGTGTGGATCATCTGGATAAGACTGGTATCTACTCGTTAGACTCAATGCTAACGATACATCTGGCCGAGTACACTGCACAACATACATGATGGATCCTATCGCCGAAGCATATGGAATCCTATCTATGTGTTCTCGCTCATCAGATGTCTTTGAACACTGATTCTTGCTCAGAACTAAACCTGCCTCATCGGTAAGGATCCTTTCTTAGATTCTTGCATGCTAAACCTTTTTAGCACCTTGTCGACGTAAGTACTCTGACTTACACCTATCAGCTTTCTCGATCTATCTCTATAGATCTTGACGCCTAAAATATAGGCAGCTTCGCCTAAGTCTTTCATCGCGAAATGGTTTCCTAACCAAGACTTAATATTTTGCAAAGTAGGAATATCATTTCCGATGAGCAAGATGTCATCAATGTATAAGACCAAGAACATAACTGCACTCCCACTGGCCTTCTGATAAACGCATGGCTCGTCCTTGTTTGGTAACAAGCCAAACTCTTTGACTGTCTCATCAAAGCGTAGGTTCCACCTTCTTGTAGCCTACTTCAATCCATAAATGGATACTTGAAGCTTACATACCTTCCTTGGATGCTCAGGATCCTCAAAACCCTCGGGTTGTGTCTTGTACACATCCTTATGCAGATTTTCGTTAAGGAATGCGGTCTTGACATCCATTTGCCATATCTCACAGTCGTAATATGCGGCTACGGAAATGAGTATCCGAATGGATTTAAACATAACGACGGGTGAGAAGGTTTCGTGATAGTCAATACCATGAATTTGTCTAAATCCTTTCACCACAAATCATGCTTTATAGGTATGCACGTTTCCATCCATGCCAGTTTTTTTTCTTGAAAACCCATTTGCATCCGATGGGTTTTACCCCTTTTGATGCATCAACCAAAGTCCATATTGGTTGTCGTACATGGATTGCATCTCAGACTTCATAGCCTCGAGCCATTTCTCAGAGTCCAGGTTCGTCATGGCTTCTGAATATGATGTAGGCTCGTCGTGCTCCATGAGCACGAGTTCATCATTTTCAGTCACGATAAATCTATACATATCAGGC